CGGCCCCGCGCTCTCCCTTCGGAAAGGCAGGCGGTGGGATTCCCCCCAGCGTGCCTGCCCTGCCTCTGCTGCCAGGGATGAGATGCCAGGCCCAGGAGGGAGTTGTTGGGGCCGGCCCTCACCTGGCGGGCAGGTGCCTCTGGATGCTGCTGATCAGCCCCTTGGAGACATCCACGTGCACCCACGTAGAGCTCACCGTCGCAATGGTGACGACCAGCCAGCCGGAGGGCGTGCCCGGGTACACCCCAGTCAGGAAGCCGTTCTGTGAAATCAGCACTGTCAGACCGCGGCATCAGGAGGACCTGGACCCCCCACCCCCCCAGCAGAGCCCCCATCCTGTCGAGCCTTGGGAGCCACCACGGTCCCCTTTTCACCCACCCGCATCCCTAAAACCTGGGGAAGAGAACCTCCAAGCCACCGCAGGGCGACCCCACCCGCCACTCTCCCGCCTCGCAAACCCAGGCGAACGGCCAGACAACTGGGGTCCCCGGGCAGAACTGTGAGCAGTCCCAGCGAGTGGGGTGGGCTCTGGGGCAACACTCAGATTCAGCCCTGGTTCCTCCGCCTGCCAGGGGTCCCAGGAAGAAAGGCCAGCCGAGGTCCAGTGGCTTGCTCACCAAGGGGGCCCCTCAAGACCCCAATGGCTGCCAGAAAGCCCCATGGCACAGGGAGGGGTGAGGGCGTGATGGGGCTGCCTCGGCTTATGCCAGGAAGGCCCGTGTGCGCCCCCTCCCCAGCTCACCTTGACCCGGATGAACCGCTTCTTCCAGGACGAGAGGCCCGAAAGGTAGACCTGCTTGAGCGCTTCCCGGCTCAGCTGGAAATCCACCCCCTCTGGGGTGACCGTGAACTGGAAGGCAACCGCCTGGTGGGCTTCCGCCATCCTGGGTCTCCGCCGCTGCCTGGGAAGAGGAATCGGGCAGGGGGCCTTCAGCCGGTTGCTGCTCCATCGGGAGGCTCACACAATTCTTTGGGACTCGCCTCTTGCCTCCTCCCGCCCCCCCCAGACAGATCCTACCTCCAATCCTATTGATCTTGGAAGGAAGGAAATATGTCCAAGCGCAGAGCCCTCAGAGCACGCGCAGAGTACGGGACTGACGCTCTGCGGCAAGGCAGCTCGCCTGTATGTGGGACGCAGAGAATAAACTCAGTTAACGAGAACCACACCTGATAAAGGGATCCTGACCGAGATGGGTGGAAGCAGAACCTGAAGCCCCTTACCGCTCGGCTTCTCCCACCTCGGAGGCAAAGTTCAGCCCTCTACTCCGGGGGGGGTGCCAAACTGGGGGTGCTCTTTGGCCCTTTTATAGCCGGCAAAGGGACCTGACTACCTGAGCTCTGCAAGGCAGAGGATCCCCAAGGAAGCGCCCCCGGCTTGCAGACGTGGGCGCTTGGGGCAGTCACGCCCGAGCCCTCTGGGAAAGGGGAGCTGGCTACGGGTCCTGGACCCTCCCTCCCTTCTCAGAGCTGGAGGTATCTGAGCAGGCCGGGCACAAATCTCAGGCACAGACCTGCTCCAAAGGGACCCTCCCTCACCGATGTTTCAGAGGAGGCGGGAGTGGCAGGGGGCCAGCTCCAGGGTGGGCAGAACTTTGGCCTCACTGCCCACCTTCTGGGAAAAACTGCTGGGCTGAGCCCACCAGGGGATGGCCAGGCTGCCCAGCCTCGCCCCCCAGCACGCACTGGGGCTGTTCTGCCTCTGAGGGAGAGGGAAGGTCTCCCTCCCTGCCCTTTGGTGGGTAGAGTCCTGGGGACGGACAAAGGGGCCGACGAGACTGAGGGAAGCGCCCACTGGTGGCTAGGACCGTTCCACATTTGGAATATGTGCGAATTACAGCTGTTCCCTATTGCGTTGTACCAAAATGTCTTCTCTCATTCCCCAAACCGGGCGCCGTCTGGAGCCGAGCCCTGCCCCACTTGCCCCAGCCCCCGGTGCACATGCCTCCTCCCTTCAGCACCTAGCTTCACGGCTCCCCGTTCAGAGGGTTAGTGGTGGGCCTGTGCTGGGGCACCCTCCCATTTCCCCCAGGCTAACCAGAGGAAGATGGCTGGTTGTAGGTTCCGTGTCAGCAGCGGCTTCCAGGCAGTTTGGAAAGGGCACCGGTACCTTTTTGAGGGGCAGCGCTTGAGGGCTCCCTTCTCTCTTCTTCGCCTTCTTCAAACCCTTTTGCTCCTAGGCCTGCGGGGAATGCGGATGGACCGGGGTCAAGGTGGCAATGGCCGCCCGGGGGCAAAGGTCTGCTGCCCGTGGGGCCTCCTCCCACCGATCCCAGCCACCTGAGCTGCAGCCACCGTCATCCTTGGCCCGAGGTGTGTTTATATGCCCTGCTGGCACAGGAGCCACTTGGCTCGAGAAGCCCGTTTCCATCACGTGAGGCTGGCATCTGCTGCCTGTGGCCTGGAATCAGGCGCAGGCTGGGTGCCCCCTCCCTGCTGAGCCAGAAGGGGGCCAGCCCCAGGTGGGAGGGAAAAGGCCCCAAGGCTGCTGGGGAGAGAGGCCCCCCACAGCTCAGAAGGGGCGATGCACTGCCTCCCCCCTCCCCCCCAGGGATTCCTCGGATCCTGCCCGTGCTGAGGGGTGCTGAGGGAGCAGGCAGGGAGAGCCCCTTCCGGCCCAGCTGAGCTGGACTCTAAATAACTCAGGGCCAGATCCCTCCTTCGCGCCTGGCCACAACCCAGACAGGGAGGGAACCATTTCTGGGCAAGACCTGGAGGGCGGGCCGGGCCGCGCAGCCTGCTGCTGCTTCAGAGCGGGTCTGAAAGGAGCCCAGCAGCAGGGGGCCCCAAGCCCACACGTCCTCTTCCAGGGCACTGCAGGCCGCTGACTTCTCCTGGGATGCATCTTCCTCTGCAGCCCGGGATGTGTGGGGGGCTCCCATCCTGCTGGAGATTAGCCAAGGCCGGCCAAACGCTGCCACCCCGCCAGACCACCCTCCTCTCTGGAAACAGGAGCCCAGGCCCGGCCTTGATGCCCAGCACAGCCTTTGGTCCCAGTGGATTTTCCGGACCCCACCCTCACCCCCTTCTGCCAGTGCAGCTGCCTCGGAAAAACCTCCCCGGGCGGAAGGGAAGGGCCCTCCCTTGGGCGTCCCCAGAAGGACTCAGCGTGGGGGGCTGCAGCGGAGAGAAAGGGAGCGCCGCTGGGGCGGGAAAGGTCCTTTGGGAAGGGCAGCGCCGCCGCTGCTTCCATCGGCCGGTGAATGAATGCGCCTCCCAGCTCAGGCCGAGGCCGG